GACCTGCCTTAGACCGTACTTACCACCGGCATTCGACGTTACGCAGTGTATATCAGCTACCCAACAACCGTGACCAACAGGGGCATTACAGCGGTATGACAATCGAGCCATTGGTCCAGATGGCTGCCATGCCCCTAAAGAGTTGCAGTTTGCAGTAGGAAAAATCAGTAGTTTTTCCATCTAATAGTTTAGCAAATCCGAACCTATATAACACCGGTATATGCGTTTATTCTTACGGAACTATTTGCGTTTATTTTTTTCAGCAATTCCGTAATCGAGAACCAGAAATGAAGACATTAATTAAGATACCCTCAACTCATTAAATGCTTAGCTAAGAGAACTCCTATTTCACTAAACGAGGGAAGTGTTTACTGTCGTCTCAACAATTACCTAACCAGTCCTTTAGCCTACCTTTCACTATCGGACTAAGACTTCCAGTTTCGATAAAAGGTTGATGGTTCCCAGAATGAAACGTTCTTTAATTTTAACTCCTTCACTGTGTAGAGTATGTTAAGCTTGCATTTTTGGCCAGTTATTCAATCGTATAAGCAACTGGGCGACCAAAGGCAGTTCTCTAAAAGTAGGAAAGTCCACTTAAAGCAGTTCTCATGTGCTTCATAGTGCTTTGGCGCAGACATCCAAACCGACAACAGTGTGCACATTTCCCTCAATATTTAAACACTTTTAATAAACTTTCAGTTTGTCTTGAGTGCTTAACAGAGCGCCCCCATCTGTGGATTCCCTTAAAGCCATCACCCTAGTATCACTTGTCGTGTATAAGCTATTTAACTTTATCTGAGGTAAAACGAAATCCAGTCTTCGCTGATACATTTTTACGTTCACTCTACGATGAAATTTTCTGATCTGGAACTAATTCATTTGCCTACTTAAACTTATTGAATCGTCCAGAAGAAAACAGTCATGTCAGGTGCCCTTGACACAGAGTGCGTTCAACGAGCCGCCGCTAGGACTTCGCACGTCTCACTCTCTGACGGAGTTGTTGGGCAGCCGCGTACGAAGGTCGCCTACATTGACGTCGTGCCTTCTTCCCTCTTCCTCACAAAGTTGGATGAAAAACGAATTCGTGAATGTGTGAAAAGGCTGGCAGAACTGTTTGCTGATTCTTCTGCCGCAGTCAGCATGCTGCATTTTGCGGAGACTAAAAAGAGTCAAAAGCTTTCGGGCACTCCCTTGTCTCAGTTGCCCCAAAAGTCTCTCTGGTGGAACTGCCTCCCAGATGTACGTTCTCTGCAGTCAGTAGA